TCATTTCTGGGGTAAAATTGGACGCTGAATCTGAATCAAGTCTTAAAAACGAGTCTGTGAAAAACCACAATTTCTTCAAATTTTTGGAAAAACTTGATTAATACTTGATGATTTTCAATACCCAAAACATGACAATTTGCCTAAAATTTTAGCAAAGCGGTTAAATTTTCTTTTTTCAATCTAGTGAAACAAGTTGACTAGTTTGGGTATATAGTTTATTTTCAGCAGCGGGGAGCAATGATCCAACTTGTATGAGAGATTTGAACCACCCTAGTGATAACAAGAATCCTCGAAAACTTATGCATTGCAATAAAATGGTGCCGTTAAAGTCATCTGCAAATTAGACGTCACATTTGCACGTTTCCCTGAAATTAATCGGCGAACGTTTTATGCTAGTATTGGTTTCACGGTGCTGTGCGTTTGCACACATTGACTTCGTTTCGAACAATGAGAAAACCAAAAAGTAACGGCAAACCAGCACAAATATGCGATTTGGCCAGTGAAAATAAAGAAGAAAACCAGGAAATGCCGTTGAAAGTGAACACAGTAGGGTTATATAAATAGTAAACAGCAAGAAGGTGAAGCAAAGAAATTATAGTCATTCTCGCCGTTCGAGTGGAATAATATCAAATGCAATGGAATTGGGCGAGAGTTAGAAAGCAAGAGAAGGGGAGGAAAGTCAACAGGAAAATGGGACAAAAATGAATTTGCAAAACACACTGAAACGAATAATGAAATGAAGAAGTCAAGCGCAATGTGCACATAGCACCAAATGGTAATAAAAACACAGACAACAAAAAATAGGATTTGCAGAAATTTTCACACAGTTGTGTTTCGTACACATACCATGCTTGCCGATGTTGATACAGCCCATATTTACTTAAATAAATTCACTGGCAACGTCAGGAATTACATTTTCAATTCGTTGGTTGTGCAATTATTGCAAAGCAAAGCAATGAACGAAAGTTTTTTCTCGAGCATTTCTCATAGGTTCGCACGAAATGGATTACGAAATGAAGCACAAAATATCAAAATGTTGCTCATTTCAACCATGTTTTTAGTGCAATGTACCGGTAGAATTCGTCTTTTTCAACATACAAAGTGACCGACGTTTTCTTTTTTTTTTTTTTGAATACACAAAGTAATGGAAGGACACTAGGACACATCGAATATGGAAAATCCAATGGAATGTGCAATGGCAATAATGTCACGCATTAACAGATCACACACGAATTCTAAACAAAAACTACGTATTCCAATAGTGCCATGTTCTAATTTTAATTTTATTTTATGATCAAACTCATACGTTCTAGAAGCACACAAACATACTTTACCACTACGGGAATCGAACCATATCACGATCGATTTTCCTAGCACATAAACCGACAAGAAGGTGAACGAGTGATACGAGAAGAACCTTAAATAATACTAGTTTTATATGCTTACAAACAATTGAACGAACAACAAGTTTATTTTTCTCAAAATAAGTATAATAATAATAAATTATTATATATTTTCTTGAAATATCTTAATTTTGAAGCAGTTTATCTTGGGTCAATTTCTTGGCAAATAATAAATGAAATTATTGGAAACAGGGCCTTTTGCTTCTTGAAGTCCTTATAAACGTTTTATAATCTTTTTTTTTACTATATGGCCAAGATAGCGAATAATGATGTAAAATATTTAGTTTTTTTAAATATGCTCAATAAATTATATTGAACCATTTTTGAACATCAAACAATATTATCCATTGCTTTATAAAAACTAGTTTTTTTTTTTTTTAATCATAGCCTTCCAAATGAGTGTTGGAGAATTGCAATGATAGTGTATGAATTCTTAGATTCGGCGAACAATGAAACAAGTAAGAACTCGCTTTGGAAAATGAATGGGAAATTTAGCGGTGGACGCATTCAAGTATAGCAAAAATATACTCAAAGCAAAGAGGATTTTATTTCAAAGACAAGAGTAAAAATAACGCAATCTTTTTGGAGTGTCCATTACCGGACATTTGGAACAAAAGGAACAATGCAACTCTTTGGTGGAATTCATTTACAAAGTTTCAAACAATAAAAGTACATCAAACATCTATCGAATCTGACTCTATATTTTGCTTTGTGGTTGATTTTGTTTGGATAGCTATAGCATTTTTTTTTGAATGAGTTATATGTAGTGTAGAACAAAAAGAAAAAAAGGAAGAAAATAAGAGATTTTTATCTGTTGCCATTCAAACTCAACTCATCTATAGTGTTTGACAGTTTCAATAGACTTTTATAAACTTCACTTTTGAAATTAGTTGGTAGAAGAAAAAGTAACCAAAGTCGATCTAGCTACGAAAGTTTATCAGATATTTTTTGCTTTCACTTTTCGGAAATTATTGTTGTCTCTATTTATAATCATTGTGGATTTTCTTCGTTCATTTCCGATTTGAAGAAAGACAAGGAAAAACCGCTTTTGCGAAAAATCGCAGTGGAATTTAAAGCACAGATTGCATCAAAATACGCACCGCTAGATTCAACGTACACTGCAAGCCATTGAAGCGGTTTAATTAGTTTTTCGCATTGAAGCAATTTTGTTTCTTTCACTTGTGAGCGCATTCATCTTTTCAACTCCATAGAAATGTTTTCATCAAATTTGATTGTTTTATTTTTGAACTTTGGCTGTTAGCGTGTGTAAAATATATTGTGCAACTCCGTTGTGCAAACAAAGTCATCAACAAGTTTCTACGATTATCTATTGCACGCATACCAAAGAAAGCAAAAAGAGATAAACCAACCACAGTATTCGACGATGAATAAAGTCAAATTTTTGATATGGTTGCACCAGATTGTATATGCAACGACCAACTTTTTACCAAAACATTGAAACATACTTATGGACTTAAGTACTCTGTTCCCGCGCATGGTTTACATCGCGTGATTGAGTAAATAATATCGATTTTATTTTATGGAGAGAGGGAAAATGTACGATAGAGCAAAAAAAACAAAATCCTTCAAAAACTTTAAAGTTAGTTTTTCAAAGCCAATTTGCTAGTCATCGTCATTTTTTATCTCTTACTGTTGAACTTCTGACCAATGCAATTGAGACCTTGTGGCCCGATATTTAATTATAATTTTTTCTTCTACCATTTTTTGTACATAATTGCACCAAGTTAGTTTGACATGAAGCGATTTGAAAAGGTTATCAATTCAAGTTGTTTTGATTTTAAATCAAAGAATTTTTCAAACAAACCCAAAGAATATATCCCAAACTTGTATATATTTTCTGAAAAATCGTCCGTTTGCTCTTCATTCTGTTACATTTATTTTGATGGAAGCACACTGGGAAACTTTGACGAAATTTTAAATGTAACCAAAAACATTCAGAAGCATTACCTGGTTAAAATACTTTTTCGTTTGGGAATACTTGTGACACAGTTGTTTTTCACAGTAAAGTTTTCTCCCTTCAATATTTGAATGTCAAACACATGTTCATGAATCGAAATGTTATTCAGCTTTTACTACATCTGACAAAGTTTTCCATAATTTCAAAGCTAACATAATAGCATATTGCTCAGTGGCGGATTATCATAGTATACAAAACAAAACCGCAATTGTGGCAGGGCCAACAGATTTTGGGGCTCCCAAATTTCAATAAATTTCACAACAGTTCTCAAAAAGTCTCATTTAAAGATGTGTTTATTAAAATTGAAAAATGATGGAAAAGAGCCCACAAAAATGTGTCGTTACAGGGCCCGTCAAAGTCTCAGTTCACCATTGATATTAATATTTTTTCTGTCATTGAAATCACAAGTGAAGAAAAATAACAAAAACACACCGAAAATGCTAACCAAAAGTAATTTTTGAGAATTAAATCGCATTGAAGCCTAGGACAATAAACTTATTTCCATATACTCAAAAAGTTTGTCAGCAATTCGTACCGTATGATCTTTTTAGTTCTCACTTCATCTGATATAAGCAAAGTGAATTTAACTATGGTCAAGTGAATTCATTAACTAAATTGTCAATATTTTTGGATGACACATATAAACACACAAACCAAGGATGTACCATTTCCGAATTTAAAGTAGAAGTTGTTTGAATGAACGCATGACAAAGTGAAGAAAAGATACTGATTACTCCATTAACATTCTTTTGGTTGAATGCTGAATTTATTCAATTGTAAGACAAATGTTGAACGTGTGAATCTATGTGAAATCGGAAATTTCTCTGTCAATGTAATACACTAACACACATATATTACAAACTCAAACATACGAATGCACTATTCGTACCGTTATATTTGTGACGAAGAATTATGTTAGAAATCACATCTCTTGTATGTTCCTCACAAATGGGGACAGCAATAACAATCGTATATACAAATCTCTTAAGCATATTACAGTACATTAATGTCGCATGCGTCTTTTTATTATATTATTTTGGGATAAACTCAACTAGATTCAGAGGTAAACTTTGGTTCATATACACCAACAAAAAACGCAAATAATAAACTTATGTATCGATTGTGTTGAAACGTTTGCTCTTGTTGTTGTACGTGACTACGAGTGAATTTGCAATGATGCATACACAATTTACACAGGTACAATTGAATGGGAATCAACTGCATGTCAAAAACTCTGTTCAAAATTCATTCCAGACGCGAGAACGTAAGATAGAGATTTAAATCTCTAATTAGAGAGAAATTGAAGAAGGTCATTCATTTTAAATAATTATTTACCTACAGAGAAACTACCCAATTGCTTATATGTTGAACGGGCGTAGTACTTTCTGACAACGTTTAATATCCGTTGTCGTGTGTTTCATGACTCATTGAGCTGAGAGTTGGGATTTTAAATTAGTCCATGTTTATGTTCATAGCAGATAAATATTTGTGCCATGCAATTTAACTGGAATCCTAAGAACAATATAATTAATTGAAAATAATCTATCGTTTCAGTAATTTTATGTTTTAAAAGAAAAAACATTTTTTACGAATTAATTTATTGATTCAATTCGATTTAGGGGTGGAGTGTTATAATAATAATCAATCACTAGGTAAACGTTTTTTTATAATCTAGAATCATGTGTTTCATTTCATGTTCATTACATTAGAATCCAGCTCTTGTTCTATGCCACCACAAAAAATGGAGAAATTTTCTCCTTTTGTATTTTCATACTTGCGCATTACAAATGTTTTCAATTAAATCAACAGGTCTTTAATCCTCCAACAAAATTATTAGCTTATGCTCCTTAAACATAGATGTCAATTTTAAGCTATTATATATCTAAAAAAACAACATCTGTAAATTTACAAATCTATTGTTGATTTCATTTTTTACCAAAAGATTTCTATCAATTACAGATGTAGTTTTTAGTGTCTAAATATCATGTTTTTTTTCTTATATATATACTTATTTGTATCAATTAATAAAATGTGTTCAACAAAATGCTTCAGGTGGAAAATGTTGTTCTTTAAGAAGATCTGTGAATGATTCCAGACTGGCACGAAAATCCCATTTCGCCAAAGCCAGCAGTCTGAAAAAAGAAATAAGTGTATACCATTTGAAAATGTCATAGATAAAGAATTGAAGATGGAAAAATTGAATATAGAAACTAAAATTGATAATTACTTTTTACACCACGTACTATTGAGCCCCGTCAATTCGTGATAAATTATTTCGAGTCCCAGTTTTTCTTCGTCTGTAACATCACTTGAGTTTGTTTCCAAAACGGGGGTTGGCCGGGACGTTTTGAATGAATTGTCCAATTGCTTTACTGATGGACGATAGTATAATAGAATATCGTTTAAAATTTGATATTCTTCACTGGCATGAAACATTCCCAATCCATCAGTCATTTTCGCAATTATGAATGTGCGTGAAAAGCCCAAAATCACTTCTTCATCATTCAATGTACTACCGGTCTCTTTGAAGAGGCCATTAATAGTGATTATGGCTTTGGTTGGCTATACAAAAATGATAAAGCATTACATTGATTTATAACATTTCACTGTTTCATCCAATTATTTTTGTTGGCTTACCGTGTAACCCGATAAATCAATTGTGAAAGAGGAGAAATCATGCTCGGTGGTGCCAAACACACCAAATAATGATGCAATCTGCTCTGGTCCTTGGAAAAGATTTTGTGCTGGATTACATGCCACAACACGTTTGAAATTTCGACACTTGTCGATTATTGGTGCCATTCTCTTGGCCAAACTATCCGCCATTCCCAGAGAATTTATGCTCATCGTTAAGACAGAGTTCGTATGGTATAAACCTTTTGAAAAAATAACCAAATATATTATTTAAAATATCTTTATCGGGATCTTGTTTCATTTCTTACCACGCAAAAGACGAACACGATTGGGAGCATCGAAACAGTTGAAGTAATGTAAAGTAAATTGTTCGACTAGGTCATATCCTTCCAGTGTACATAAAAAGTTCTGCTGAATCACCATAATTGGTGACTTTGAAACATCATGTCCATCCTGTTAAAAGGAAGATTTATTGTTTTTAAATGTGACTAATCTCTAGAGAGTAATGACCATTTCCAAAATATCACATTCAAAAGTCCACTTTTTTACTTACCAATTTCTCCAAATTCGGAATGATTTCTTTTACAGCTGTAATATAAGCAGAAGCATTCGGGAAATTTAAACAAAATGGATTTCCTTCCAACCACAATTCCTTTATTCCTTTTGGTATTGATTCGATTTGTTTGATATCTTCGATTTTATTGTTGCTCAAGTCAACTTCCTTAAGGCCCTTCAACCAAATAAGGCTATGCATTCCTAGTAGGTATGATATGGGATCGAAATAGATTATTTAAAAATTGATTATTTAAAAATTTCTCTTGATCTTGTTTTATTACTTACCTCGTGTGGATCGGAGACCATTATATGCTAGGTTGAGTTTTTCAACATTGTTTGTGTACCTTCGGCCGGCGTATGTAACTATTGTGCTTAGAGTGCGTGGAACACAAATTCTACAAATCATATTGGCAAATAGGTCTTTCTCCTCGAATCGATCAAGATTGAGCGCTTGATTCATAATATCGTAACTTGAATTAATGGCCGTATGAATCATTTTTATTGGATCCAAATTGTTATCTTTGATTTCAGCAACTTTCATGCGAAGGGTTATTGTTAAATTTTCACCGGTCGCCGTTTTCATACGTAACTTTTTATGGAACAGAACTTCCAGAGCTTCAAAGCAATCACGTACGAAAAATGAATCATGTTTCGAATCTGGCTGGTAGTAGCATGGATATAACTCGTTCGGAGCTATTGTTTCGAATAAAGTTTCAAGAAGGTCCATTTGCGAAACTTTTCCATTGTGATGAATTATCACTTGATGCCAATTTTTATCATGATTTTTATACGGGTCCATCTTTTTTATATCAAAAAGTAAATCTTGGGCGCTGAACACTTCTTTCGTGCTTTTCACTTCTATCGGCTTAATGATGTATTGGTCTTTTAGTAGCGGTAGGAGATGCAGTTGTTTTGATGTGCCATCAGTCCGAAGTACTTCGTTATCCTTAAAAATGCATATTCTTTATTAATTTGTGTGCTCATTTACATTTAAAGTATATTAGTACATTTTACTTACAAGTTTTTCCAATTCGGGAATCATTTCCATGATGTCTCTTTTGAAACCAATATTATCAGCCACTGGATTACCTAATAGGGATGACCATAAGAAATGAATGGAAAAAATTTAAATTAATCATAGTATAACAACTGAATGGAAAAAGAATCGAAGGAATGGATAAAAATTGTAGAGTAATCTACTATTCGATTTTTACCCCTCAAGCATAAATGGCGAATTTTCAAACGTTTCAATGTAACTAATTCGTGTACGGTTCGAATCTGCAATTCCAAAATATTTCATTGTAAAAAATGGAATTTAATATAAATCTTGAAATCTTACTCACGTTATTATCTCGTAGGTCAAGTAAATTTAGTGATACTTTTGTCATTTTGGAAAGAGGATCGAGAGTTCGAATGCTGTTAAAAGAAGAAAAAAAAGGTTATTTGGTTGTGTTATTTTCAGCTTCTTCGCTAACGAATCGTACCTGTTGTTTGTCAAACGAATTCCATTGACTTTGTCAAAGATTTTGTTGTTGGTTTGCAAATTATCTAGAGTGGTGAACAGCAGTTGTAGTGACATTTTATTGGCCAAATTGACGCAAATGTGTTTGAATTCAGTGTGCGTTGAAAAACGATCCAAATCGAGAACATTGGGCTCATTTTCACAAATAATCATGCGTTGCAGACAATCGTTGATGGCTTTCGTATACTTTTTCGACGGATAGATTTGACCTAGTTTGAATTGAGCAACTTGAAATTTGATTGTCAAATATACGATCAACTGATTTCCAAACGACAAACGGAGACTTTCGTGAAAGAGTTTTTCAATCGCAGTCCGACATAAGCGAATCAAGAAATAATCGGATAATTTGCTTTCGGTATATGCAATTGGGAAAAATTCCGATTCGCCAACCACTTCAAAAAGTTTTTCAAGCAGCTGCCTCTTCGAAAAACGACGTTCATGATGAATAACAATCATGTGCCAATAATCGCCACTTTGTATCAATTGTGTGTCAAAGTTAACGCAATTGTGATATTCTTTTGGATTGTTATTGGTAATTGCAATCTCTAGATCGGTGGTGGTCATCTTAAATAGTTTTATTTCATCTACAGAAGAAATAAGCTTAAAACTGAAATCATATGAAGAAGATTGCAATTTTGACTTACCGTGTGACGGAGCGTAGTAGCTGTCATCGATGGAAAAATCATCGCGATTCATTTGTACTGATTGACCGTTTAGTGACCGTTTATTATTTGAAGGCTTTGATGCTGCAGTTTTTGGTGGTGCTAATATTGTTGCTGCTGCTTCCACTTGTTTCCGAGGTTGAAGTTGTGCTTGTAGTTTTGGTGTCTGCTTTTCTACGGGTTTCAACTTAGTTACTGTTTTAACATTAGTTGCCGTATGAACTATGTAAGGAATTCTTGTGTCATGTGACACCACGAATGGTATATTCCAATATTTGGATATCGGAAATGCAGACTGATCGTATAAATTTTCGTAGACCTTCAGAATATATTTCTTAAACGTTGTACGACCAATCGTCTCAAATTGTTGTGGAACGGCATGCTCTGGGACCGGACAAACGACGTAAGCCTTTATTTTATTTCGATTGGCTTCAATTTCATCCGGACCAAATCGTTTTGGAAAATTAGATCGGTTCATAGAAATAGATTGATTTAAACGAAAGAAAAGAAGAAGAGAAATGATTAATAACTACAAAACAAACAGTTTGACATTTCAAAAGACACGAAGGCAATGTATTTTTGTTTTTCTTTAAAATCACGTTTCACAAGCGAAAAAGGAGAGAATGAAATGCTATACCGGAAAAAATATATATGCGGCATTAGCAAAATTCTGTTTATTTGTACGAAAGGCATTAGTTAGTGTTGACAGTTCAATAAAGAGTTGACAGTTCAGTTGTCGTTGTTATCCCTATCGGAATCTTTATCTCTAAAATGTACTTATTTTCAATTTAAAAAATATGTTTGCCCAAAATATTCTTTTTTTATTGATATTTATTCGAAAATATATTAAGTTATACACGGTTGACCAGCACAAATGCACATAATTGAATTGAGTTGATTTCTTTTTCTTGCCTGAAAAATTTCAATGATGAATGTAAAAACGTTCAAACACATTTTATTATGATCGAATTATTATTGGAATTTAAATGGAAAACTTACACGCAGCTGAAGCCAACGTTTTTGATTTGGTACAAACATTTCGGGTGGTAATAAAGTTTCCCCATCTGGATCTAAAATTAATAAATTAAAAGTGATTTTGAGATTGTTAATATATCGTTAATAAATCAGAAAATCCAACTACCGTCAGATTTTTGAGGCACTCTTGGTGAATGGCCAGTTTTTTCGCTCATCGGAATAATTTCAAATGGTTTGCGCAGTAAAATTTTTCCAACTCCTTCACATGTACGTAAGACTTCATGTTTGGCTAAAGTGTCAGAAAATCCAACTATCAAAATATTTGCTACACTCTCAGAAAATTCAACCATCTTACCTAAAATGTCAACATGTTCTGGTAAAACGTATTTGCAATTGATTATCCATTGGGAAACACCTTCAAAATCACGAAGCAAATTCAATGCACCTTCACGACTGCAAATAAAATGAGACTAATACAGATTGCAAGATAGGTAGATGTCTAAATACCTGAATTTAATTTTTTGTGTATAAATGTGATCAAGCCATGCTTCGCACATAATTCTTAAAATCAAATTAAGTATTTCCAATACATTCGTTGACCGAACTACTTTCAGATATACTTCATCTAAAAATCAATCACATTAATATCAGAAATCGAGTTAAAAAATAAATGAAAGAATTTTGCATTAACTCACCCAAAAAATGATTTACATATTCGTTGGCGTTCTCCTGAAGGACATCGCTCTGCCAAAATTGTGATTTCGGAAAACACAAACTGAGCGTTGCCAAACTTAGCATTTTACAAATAGATGCCAACACTTCGATGCATTCATCTGATGTGAGCTGCAAATTTATGAATAATTAAATTTATTTATTTTCTTTTTAGTATATCTGGGTGTATAACGAAAATACTTTTAGTTTGCAGATGTTAACTTTAACTTCTGATATGAGTTTTGCTCGAAGTGCAACGTTTACTTGAATTTCTACTTCAAATAAATCAGGCGACACAAGATCAGGTGTTCGAAGAACTTTTATTTGCTCCAAACATTGATTGATGTCATTGTGAACCACTTTGAAAAACATTTCCATTCCCCATTCGATACATAATGCCTTAGATTTTGCAGCCGCCCACAAGCGCATCGTATGAATTGAATGATCTATTTAATCAACAAAATTGGATTAAAAATATCCAATTTCCAACCGCTAAAAATAAACGTTACCAAGACGATGTAGCACTGCAATTTGCTCTACAATTGGAATTTCATTCGGAATAGTACTATGCTGATCACAATTATTACAGAATGTTGTTAATGTGTATAATAATTCGCTCCACAGGCGACCCGTTGTCGTGGTTCCTTCAGACTAAAAAAATAATATCAAGTAATTTTTTTGTACTTGGAAAATATTATTATACTATTGGACCTACCACAGTTTTTTTATTGTAAAATTCGTCACTTTCAAATTTATAATCAATTGGAAGACTAGATGCAACAAGTGCCAGACGAAATTGACTATCGTACGTTGTACAAGCAACATGTACAGTAAGAGTTTCGCCTAGACAGCGGAGTATGGATACGAGCGTTTCTGGAGCTTCTGCAATTGTGATTGTTAAAAAACATTGTTTTTTTTTAATTGAAATAATTTTTGATGAATTCCTATAATGAAATGAAGGAAACGTTTCCAAAAAAACTTTACCATCATATTGCATGCTTAGCAGCCAATCTCGCAAATGGCGCGCAGCAGCCACAGGCTCACAAGCAAGCGGTGCAACATGCCACCATAGAACTATATGTTCAAGGCTCGCTCCTACTTGTGTCCAGAGCGTTTGTGTTGCTTTATTTACATACTTCACTATTTCGGTTTGCGTTGGTTTCGTTTCTTAGGAATAAAATTGAATAAAATTGAATAAAATTGAATACCATTTTGCTATCTAAATTTTATGTTTTTACCGAAAATCGATGGACAGAATTGTAGGCATTTTAGTAAAATGAATGCAAAATAATTTTCTTCTGTTGACACCATTTTCTCCAAATGATCAATGTTTGCATCATTTTTTAAACTTTCTTCTGCAGATTGTGGAATCGATACCATTTTATCGAAAAATTCCATTGTTGGGTCTTGTGCGGCTGCTTTTTGTGTATCATTGGCACATAATGGCGATGCTCCGGATGACATATGTGATGTAAGTGCTTTCAATACTTCAATACTAGATGTATCTGATTCAGATTCATTGCCAGTTTCAACTTGGCACGAGACCAAAAGATTTGAAATTAACTGTAAACAACAATGCTCACTTCGATGGGAAGTTAAAGCCTAGAAAAGAAAGGAGTTATTCAAACAAAATTGCAGTTTTTGTAATAAGCCAAATAAGAAAATTAAGAAACAAAGATACACCTGTAAAATATCTTTGACATCAATGCGAGTGGGTGGCAAAAAAATGGTTGTATATGAAATGCTGCAGATTTGAGCGGCCCCATCGAAATTTTTCGTAAATTCAATGCACTTATTATGTACAGCGACCATACTCAATGCATCATCAATGAAACTATCTTGTTTTTGTGCGGCATGAAGTAGCAAATTTATCTGAAATGTATTGATACCCAAAGCTATGTTATAAAAAAACTAATTAAACCGTTTCTCGGTTTTGCACCTGGTTTCGTATAATAAATATCAATTGACGTTGTTTTTGTTGTAAGTTTCCGAGAATAATTGTCGCTTTTTGTGCAACTAGTTGATAGTATGGATTGCGATCAATTCGTTTATCTCCGGGTTTTTTCACATAAGCTTTCGTGACATGAGTTTGCAATGCATCACTTTTACGAAAGGCGCACAGTGTTAAGTTAGTTAATTCTCTCACGACCTGCAAAAAACAAAACACACAATGGAATAAACACCCAAATTGAAAAAGCCCAAATATCCTTGTCCTTGTTATTGTATGTTGATTTGATTTTGTTGCGCGAACGTTACTAGGTGATGTGGAAGTTTATTTACAGTCTACCTTTCAAAGCAAATCTAATCGAAACTGAATACACGGCTCAAGGATGAAGGATGTGTAACATATGAATATATGAATGTCACAAATCAATCGAACTCTCGACATACCAATGAAAATCGAATTCAAGATCCAAATTGATTTTGTTTTTTGTTGTTGTTTTTTTTTTGTGAAAATGGTATGAAAATTCTTCTTACGTGTAAGTCCGGAATTTCGAAGCAAATTTCTTTTAAGTAACGATTCGTTAGCCACTTAAATGTGAGTGAAGCTCTGCTCATGTCGTAAAAAAGATGATATGAACCTTGTAAATCTTTTGGAAGCCATTTGGGGAAACTCATCTTTGTCAATAGCAGCTTATGAAAGCTCACAAAAAGTAAAACTATATGGTATGCTCAAAAAATCTATTCTGTAGCACACGCTACAGTGTCTGTGTCTGATGAATGACTAAAACGGCAATCGATTTCGGAAACGTAATATTTAACTCACTTTTAAGTGTCAATAGTTTGGTTTCTAATAGCAACTGGTTTGCGAACTGTGATTTTAAATGCGGTTATTAAGCCAGGAGAACATTATGAAAGAAGACAGAGAATGGAAAATGCGATAGTTGTTTTTTTTTTTGAAGTTCATTCATGAAAATTTCACTTTATTTTTGTAGTGTTTATGTGAGCCTCTGCAATAACCTTGATCCAATTTACAGTGTAGAATCCGGCATATTGACATCATGCATCGTTGCGGTTAAGATGGCAATGATAATAATCATCTGTCGCTAAACAAATTTGTTGAATTTAAATTCACAGCTGAAATAAAACTTTCAATTTTTTTGTTCATATAATTTTCATTTATTATTTATTTATTCACAGTCAATGTTTAAATTGTTGTTATGTTAAAGATTTCTTCACTTGATTGGTTTATTATTTTTTCTGTTGCTCCTTACGTTTTGTGTTGTTATCTAGTTTGGCTATGCGGCCAGTATCTTTCTGCACACATCATTGATTTAACAAGTATTGTATTTGTTGTGTGTGTGTGTGTTTTCCAAAAATCGATATCCAATTTTGGAAGTTAATATCTAATGAAAATATGATTTTTCCTTACACATTATAGTTTTTGTATAGACACATAGATAAGGTGTCTATTATAAGTTTTTTTTTTGTTTTTAATGAAGAAAATGTGTGGTTCCATGACATCTGTACCTACTCACAAATACATTCTTAAGCGGTAATAAACCTTCGGCCCTAATTTACATTAGTATGGAGCTTCTATATCCATTGATTATTACAAATTATTTGCCGAGTTATACAAAATAAATTGAACTAATTTTGTTAAAGGCGCAACGGATTTCAATAGCTGAAAATCATCGATGCTAAATAAAAAATAACTATACCGCTTAATATTTAAGGAGAAGCTTGTGTGTGATTGCTTGAATGAAAGAATTGAAAATGTAGCATGGACTATTTTAAAGATGTACATTTGTTCAATGTTTATTTTAAATGTTGATCATTTCCCATGACCTTCATTCTAAACAATCTCGGTCATTTAAAATTGAGTTAATTGTGACATTTTCAAATACCGAAATTAAAATCAACACTCACTTCGATTAATTATTTACTGTGAATGTTAGATTCAATATAGACAGTTTTGAATCGATAGCAGACAAAGGCAATTAAAACAAATTTTTAAATTTACTCACTTTCACTTTTTTCCACCAATAAATCTATCATTTAGCGTTATTTTTTTCTCAGAACTTTATTTTTTTTTTACTAAAAATTAATATAATTTTTAATCGCAACTTCTGGTTCGTCTAAAATACATCTGCTTTCATTTTTTAGTGTTATGTACATCATATTGTTTTTTTTTTTTTATTGAAAGAATGTGTGTTCTTGCCTTATTTTTGCATTTTTTAAATAATATCTGCCTGATATATATTTGTGTGTAGTATGATTTTGTTTCATTTGGGTATATTCTTTGTGTTAGTTTTTTGAATGCTTGGCCTATTTCACAAGTGTTTTCTTTGTTCTAATAGTTCTGGAATTGTAATATGTGTTTACCTGGTGTATGTATGTATTTTAATGCATTTTTCATGAAGAGGAAGTGTTTATTATCATTTATGCTGGTTTTTGGTGTGTCGATAAATTTATTTTTGGGGTGGTTTCCTTTTTTCAATCGGATACAGTTCTCGGAAATAATAAAGAGGAAGTGGACAATAGAACATAACAAAGAAAAGATATTGAATGGTAATATTCAGCCATCTTCTTTTGGTGGTGTGAACCATCCTGCCAAAATGAATAAAAACATAAAAAAAATCGCATATTAATTTCAAGTCCAACATTCATAAAGCATACAAGTAACTTGCAACGTGACTCACCATTTTTCTCGTGTATTTGCACTAAACTTTTGAAACTTTGTTGTGCTCTAGCCAAACTATATTGACCTTGTGAGAGAACCTAAAATAAAGAAGTTAAAAAGTTTGAATGATTGAAGTACTCTAATGCGATTGCCATAGAAATTGGCTTTGAGATTTTCTTTTAAATTTATGGTGTTTCTCACCTTAGTCTGTGAACCAAACAAAATGCGTGCCTTTCCTTTGACTAGAGTAGCCGCAATTTGCATTATCACCGCTTCAACAGTGTAAGCTGAACTCCATCCTTGTTTTGTCAGCAATTCCATACAAATTGCTCCACCCAGCAAAACATAACCACCTATCCAACGAGATAAAATTTACGTTTAAAAGATAAATCAAATATTAAACCATTAAAAATGTGCACTAGTTCCAAATTCATTTGATGATAATTAAAAAAAAAAATCAACACACCTGAAATGATTGGATAAACTACACGAACAAATGGTGGTTCAAAAGGGTATGTTTCCTTGAACATAATATTCAAGAGGATACTGTCTTTGCCTTCTTTCTCCTTCAACTGAACTAAATCATTGTAAAGTGGACTGTCCGGATCGACGGAACGTAAACGAATGTTCCATTCATATATCGAATCATTGACCAATTCAATGGAATACATGTTATTTTTAAACGATTCCGAACGGTAAATATCACGTAATTCTTTCATAAGGCGATCCGTCGCTTGTACTGATCCCGATACAGATCCCTAAAATTAGATGATAAAAAACAAAATATAGTATTATTGACATTCAACCATTGTAAATGTTTATTTTTTTCGTACCTTCAAATAGTCTTGGCGTTGACTTTGACGAAGTCTTTCTAAAGTGGCTAAATGTTCCATGTCCATTTCATCTTTCTGTAAAAAAAAATGAACAAAACTTAATTTCCTTTTCATAAAAATGGAAAATATTCATGTTTTGGCATCAGCATCAGCAATACCTTGTTAGCATTGCGTCCATCGTCCATTTCCAGAGACAAATCTTCATCAACTTCACTTTCTGGCTCCGATTCAAGGGTTGCATCTTCAATTTCTTCAGCATCGCTGTCCTCAACAGCTGCTTGTTCGCACTGTTGCTGTACGGTTGCTTTGAAAAATTCGGCATTTGGCGGTAACAGTAGAGTATCCAATTCACTTAGCAATGGAACATTATGCAAACGGCACAGTTCACGTATCAAAATGTTTACCTGTTACATACATATAAACACACAAACATTTAAAATGAATTCATCAATATTTAGAAATTGAAAACTTATCTTTAAGTAAATGTACCAAATGGAAGATTTCTTTTCATACTCACTTGATTCAAAACATGATTATTTTGACCTTCCGTTGTGCTTAAAATTTGAACAGCATTCGTAATGCTTGTTTCTTCACTTTCGGCAAACCATACTGGTGGTGTCGATGGATATGTCTCCTGTTTGAATAGGCAATTTTTTTTCGTTAAATTATTTTCTAGAACATAGCTTAGGAATGTAAAAAGGTCCAAGAATCAGTTTGGGACTTGAAAAGATAAATTTTATTGCAACACAACATTTCCATATATAAAAATATATAGATATGCTACACATCAATAAAATTTCTTTGTCAAGTTATATATTCATAAATGCTTTCTTATCATATTTGTCTATTGATCACAATTAGCTGAAAAAAAATAGCAGAGGTAAAGAACTAGGTAAAAATTTCAGGTACAAAAACAACAAAAACAACGAAAATTATGTTTCCGACTACATTGTGTCGAATAAATGGTATACTCTCTTTTGACTATTCAAAATTTCTAAAGTAAACAAAAGGAGAAAATGGTTGTTGCTGTTGTTGAGTTGGGGAATGTGCACTTCTTATTCTTTTTAAACATCTGCATATGATCAACACATTGGGTATAAAACATTAATGTTTATTACTTTAGAATTGACATAAACATACACATTTCTTAGTATCATTAACTGTTTGAAGTGAATATTTAATATTTTGTGACGAAAATGCTGAGACATTTTTTTGAAAGTGAACACGTAATCATTTTGGGAAAAAGTGCAAAAGTGTTTTTGGCAATGGAAAAACTATTCGGTCTATACTGAAAAGAAAGACATTGAAAAGAACAACAGCATCGTTGTTGTCGTCATCGTCACATATGATAACAAACACATGAATTCAGTTTGAATACACAAAATGAATGTTCGATTTGTAAGGTCGCATATAACAACGCCATAAAACCTATACATGATCGTTGAAGCTAAATAACCATTTAACGCTCACTTGTTTTTTTTTTCTTTTTTCCCCTTACGTCTCTATATCTCTATCTCAATCGTTCTCAACTTGGAACGTGCTGTGTGTATTTCAAGTTATTCGCAACTATAAATGCATGCACTAGACAATTTCGGCAATCTACGCGTCAGTATCTTTTCACTTTTGGAGAAATATATGTATCAAAAATGCACACACATATGTATGCATACAAGCTCTGAATACATACAAGCAAAGAAGAAACACACACGGACAAACCAAACAAGAGAGTAAAAAATTGTGAGAGCAAAATGACTGATAAATAAAGACACAATGGAACAGAGAGAAAGATGTTTTGTATAGATGATGACTGTGAAAAATGCATCGGCATCGTTGCCAAGAGAAATGCAAGAAGTGCGGAGAAAAGGATCGGAATAATGCTACAGTTTCCAAAGTTGCTTTGTATCCCAAATAAACAAAAAAAAAAGAGAAGCAATATATGACTGAAAAAAAAAATGTAAAATGAAAAGCAATATAATTACAGTGATGTTTGCATGGATGTCGTAGTTTTTGCCATTTTTTCCGATAAATCGACAGGTTAGCTCATCAACACTGGCATGTAAAATTCGAAAACGTTCGTGGTTTTTTGTGAATGTTCGTTCTAGCGTTTTTATCTCCAGTTTCAATGTGTTGAGGCATGCCATTTCGCCGTTTTGTCTTCGTAGTGTCGCACCAAATGTAGTTTTTCACTGTTGTTGTTGCTTTTTATAGATTCTTTTTTCTGCGATTTGCCGCTGGTTTTTTTCGTTGATTATATATGCGCTGTTTTTTTTTTTTTTTGTTGTTATAGTTTATGATCTTTTTATTTTCAATTTATTTTCGTTTCGGTTGCAATTTTTGTTATGATTTCAAAAATGCGTCGGAGTGTTACTTGCAGTGTGCGTATTTGTAAGTTCATCCAATGTTTGTATGTATTTATATCAAATTGAATTGGTCCGCTTCGATTGAGTCCGCTTCGATTAACTCGATTTATATATATATATATACATATAATTTTTTTTGGTGAGAGAGTCGGTACACGGTACTTATGCACAAACGCAACAACGAATACAAGAGACGAATATGCGTTGCTTCTACTATGTACACACTCTGTAACGATGTGAATGTCCGTCGTCGTTTTCGTCGTGGTTGGTGTTGATGTTTCAGACGATGTCTACAGCAGCACTTTATCTATGTATACGTGTAAAGTGAATAATATCCACAGCACTAATACTCAATACACGCACACATACTATACACGAAAGTATCTTTTTCTTATTTACTTTATGTTCCACCTTCACTGTTCGTACATTTTCTATACTAAATATATTATCATATATAATTTTTTCTTTCTTTTTTCTTCTTGTGTATGTTAAACTTTTATTATTTTTATTTGTTTCTGAATTTTTATTTATTTTTTTTATTTTTATGCATAATCGATAGCACAAAAAATGTTATAAATGCACTACATTTTTACATTAAATTTTTAATGGAGTGAAAAATAGTTTTTGTTCATTGAATAGAATTTTGGGAATTGGTGGTTGTTCACAGATACAAACACATGTATATCATCACTCAGACAGACATAGAGAGAGCGAGAACAAAGCGAATCCAATTTTGGCCATCAATTAATCACTTCTTCTTTAAGTGCGTATGTATTTGCTGCCCTTTTCCATCTATTCTCTTATGTTCCAAATCGAAATTGCGACTTGAACATTTTCATATTCTCAACCTTTTGATATTCACACTTATTCACACAAACAATTTTGTGAATATTCTTTAAATGCTTTGAAATTAGTTTTTGTAGTAAGAGAAAAAAATGTCTTATTTCCGTATTAGTAGTTGGCTGACGCGAGTATTTGGGGCACCCCGAATTCGATGGTGACGAACCAACAAACTACGATTTCCATGCAAAAACTGATTTTATTTTCACGTCGTCGTCGTCGTAGTCGTTTTTTCTTCGTGCGTTGAATTCTCTTTTTATGGACGAAATATGATTATTCAATATGCTGGCTATTTCTTTGTTATGCAAACTCTTTTTTTTCTGTTCATTTTCAATAAACTTTACACGGTCGCACTGTAATGTTGAACCTCGTTGCTTGTTTAGTATTATGAGCACTCTATTCCTTTTGAATTTAATTCTGGTACTGTGTATTTTTTTTTCTTTACTATATCTTTTCTTCCTCCTTCATTTCACTTTGTTGTGTATTATAAGAGTGTCGCAAATGCGAGAGCTGCGTTCATACGTTCAAACAAACCAATTGTGTTAAACACTGTGTATGCGTATCCGAGACTGACAAAAGTACAAAAAAACCTCAATAGCTTTAAGCAATACACAACAAGCACAAACCATACTTCGACTATCCATGGGATTTTGACAGTTCGAGCGTATGTAATGCGAATTCAGGTTAAGGCAATAAAATCAGGACACCACCAGAGGTCACTGCACATCATACGATTTATTTCAAAAGTCGTTTCACAAATGTATAATATTCCAAATACTTTTATTTATTTTTTATCATATTTCTTTTTCGAAAAAAAGTATATCAATAATTTAAATAATATTAATTGGTGCATGAATTATAATTTGTATTTCACTAAAATCATCGCTGTCACAATTGTCCGTCACCTGTTATTATTTTTATTGGCGCATACGTAAAACAAAGTCGAAAATTAAGTTGGGCATTGAACGAACTCATTTCGCGCCAATTCGTAATGTGACAGAGGTGTATCTGGCAGAAGACTTCTGCGATGGCCAATCAGCGTTCAGATACCGATAATATTTTTGCTCACATTTTGATGAACGACAGTGAAAAAGCCAACTAGTAGGCGAAGTACCGTACAAACACGCAACCATATACATGTAATACAAAAACCATTTGCACTGCAAGAAACAGATTGTTTTTTTTACTTCGTTGAGACCGCACTTTCTCAAATCAATTTCTTGGATAAATCAAAGACTAACGAAAAGATAAAGTGAAAAAAATCGCTTGATTTATTTTGTTATCAAATCTGGTGCATAAAATTTAAGTGTATTTTCCCTCAACGAAGTGTGCTGTTTTCGTAAAACGACAAATCGACAAAAAAAAAACAGCAAAATCAACTAGTCAATTTCAATTTTAAACGATTCAAACGAATTTTAGTCTCAAACATTGAATAAGTTTCTAGAACAATTTAATTTTAATTTATTGGTAAGTTTTTTATTGAATTGGATGGATTTTGTGGACACGTTACATGCAAAAATGTGACCGCTTTCGCTTTTTTTCTACATTAAATTGCATTTTTCGCGTTTATATTTGCCATTCATTCTACATGCAAATTGATTTACAACCAAAAATATAGAAAATTGAACTTCTAATTAAAGTGCAATAAAATTTATGCACTTGTACTCGAATAGACAGTTGCATTTTTTTTAGCGCGCTTTCAAATATTCCGATTGCATCATTGATGTCAAAGTTTTATTTCGGGATTGTTTAACAACTGTTTTCGTTTTCTATTTTTTCATCTGATATGCACAAAAAGGGAAATTGTACACATAAGCCGCCAAGATGTCTGAACGTAAGGCAGTTATTAAAAATGCTGACATGAGCGAAGAAATGCAACAAGATGCCGTAGATTGTGCGACTCAAGCATTAGAAAAATACAATATCGAGAAGGTGAGTCAAAAACAGAGAAACATATAATTCGCATAGTTACTCTTGAAATGTTAATTCAATTTGGCAACACGTGTTCGACCATACATATGCGTTTACATAAATATGCAACCAATATACAGTCAATTCCTTGCTGTATTCTTTCCTAGATCAAAAAGTATACTTCTTCATTGCATTATGTTTTTCATTGGTGAAAATTGATCGCAATAAAATACTACTTGCTGCAATCTTAAGTACCTTTAAATATATTTATCTCATGAGCATGTGTATAATAAAAATAAATCATGTAAATAAATTCTGTTTATTCATTGATAATACTTAATCCATTATTGTGAGATAATTACAGTGACCATCATATTCACCATTTTGGTTTTTGCTGACATCAAACGATATTATAAATTCACATTTTAAGCCCTTATAAAGAAATTGATTTGCATATGTGTATTTCATTTTCAAATCAAAATATCTAGTTTAATTTTATATGTGTATTTCTTTTTTTTATCCATGTATAGGATATTGCAGCCTACATAAAGAAGGAGTTTGACAAAAAATACAATCCAACTTGGCACTGTATCGTCGGCCGGAATTTCGGATCATATGTAACACATGAGACGCGTCACTTCATTTACTTTTATTTGGGTCAAGTGGCTATTCTGTTATTCAAAAGCGGTTAAAGCATCGAATCATACATGGCAGCGTAGAGATCAGCTTAATGTAGAGATTAACAACAACTATACACCTTTGAACAACTACAACAAAAACCGCAACAATAAAAATGCGCAATTGGTCTTTTCCTTTATAGTTGGAATATATTTTATGCATTTAATCATTTTTCTTCAGTGTAAAGAAATTTTCCATTTTCTTTTTCCATTTCAATGTGGCAATTTCTGTAAAAGACATACCATTTAACAAAATCCTTTGATGTTATTTCGTAAGGCTCAAAAAGAAATACGAAAATCGATTAGCATAATTAATTATTTAACATCTCTTTATCGTAATCAGCTGATTAAGAAAAAAAAACTGCAAATTAATAACAAAAGTATTAAAACCAATCAATTCAAAAACAACAAAAAGACCAAGCGATTAATAAAAAAAAACTTAATTTAACTAATTTTAATTAAAAAAGAAAATAATATCTGAACGAAAAAATCCGTTTAACCTAATACAAAATGTTCGAAACATTTTCTTTCTTGATGAGGAATAAACAAAATTGAAAAAAACTATGAAATTTTGTAAAAATCAAATACAATTACATTTTAAAAACAAATCCAGGGGAATATCCACACGTCTGTACCTTGCATTCACGCTGCAAACATCAGCTTGAACTATTTCATTCCCCTTCAAAGATCTTTTAAATTAAAGAGAGAGAATAAAACTCAAGCCATAAAACATTTTTTCCATTACTTGTTTGAACCATTGTCTATTGTAAAATCAGCCGATTTCGATGTTGACTTAACATTTTGTGCTTAAAAAACAAAAAATCATATTTTCTAAGTTGAAAAACAATTTGATATGGCAATTTTCACATGTGATAAAAACTTGATAAATTGTCTGACTGGTGGTGACTATCTATCATTTAAAAAAAAAGAAACTGTCTATTTGAGATAAATGTAATATTGATCAGCCTTTTAGATGTCATTTTATCTATAGCATAAAACTAATTCTCTCATGTTTGTCGATATTTAATGGATCATTACAATGTAACTTTATTGTGAACAAAATAGCAATTCAGCCATCCAACCATAATGAAGATTAAACAACAACAACTTTTACTTGAAAATACATCGCTAACATTGATTGTATGTCGTGCTCTGGACATACATGCTTGTCTTTGATTTGGGACCGATAATTTTCTGATGAATTTAAATTACTGTATAAAATACTGTGCACTTAGCAAAATTCATTTACAAATCTTTACTATCAACATTTTTTTAGAAAAAATTGAAAATACCCAAAGACCACTTTCAAAATGAAAGGAGTTGGTGAAAAAGTGAGTCTAATGTCAAATTTAAATATGCATTTTAATGCGAGTAAAAGAGACAACCATATAGATTTCACCAACTCTTTTAAATGTATGAGTTAAATTCATTTATTTTCTCTTTGATGGAAAAATAATTTAATGTTTTTCAATTTTGAAACAAATTTTTGTGGATCTTTGATTAGATTCCAGATATACTAAATATACATGTCAATTATTTGCAATCAGAAGTGATGAAAATTCCCTTTTTGTTTTAATTGACAATAATTTGTTGTGAACTTCACGACAAATAATGAATTAACGCTGATTCATTTTATTTATTTTTTTCCATAACCAGCCATGTTCTGAATTTATAAATTTTCAATTGTCAACTACATAAAAATTTGGAAAAACTTTATACTTTCTAAATGTTCTATTTGGATATTATTATTATATTGTTCTAATAATGTAATTCCGATGTAACAACAAACAAAATTTTGATACCCCACTTTCCCAAAGATCAAATTTTAATGTAACTCGCTCAAATAAGGACAACAAGATAGCGTATTTATTTTTGGGGTGGACTCAACATTTAACTAATTTACTAATTGATATACATTCACATATTTAATTGTAATAAACAGCATTTCAAAAAAAAAAAAAAATGTGAAAAATAAACGGAGAAATATTCTCCAAATCGCGATCAATGAGCGTATATACTTTTGGCATGTATTCACTATTCAGTTTTTGATGACTTTTGACGACTTGCAAAAAACAAAGATTCTTCCAACTTAAGTTGTGGTATCTTACTTCGTTTTGTTATCTGGGCCGGTATTCTAATGTCACTTTCCGATCAATTTGTTCGGAATTATTCCGAAAAACATATTTCTATATCAAATTACCAAGAAAACAGCGAAAACACCGTTCTACTCTTTTTCCAAGAGTCTTTGGAATAAAAATGATTCGAAAAAAGACATTTTTACCGAAATTGTCGATTTTATAATTCATTTTCATTTTCATTTTAATTTTATATCTGAAAAAATAATTATTTTCAAAACAAATTTATAGTTGCAATAATAAAGAGAATAATAATACTTTGGACTTGTGTAAAAATTGTGGTCATATCTTGTCGAAATTCAAATTTCAATACTGTTGATAATCGTGAAACGATGATCATTGCACTAAAACACAAAAGTTTTCGTTCCAGTACGCCAGCTTATAACAGTCATTTTTAACTCGAATACAATAAAATAAGTATAATTACAAACAAAACACGAACAAAAAAATACGAATCGTATAAATGACCTTGTATTGTACAAGAAAAAGCATTCAATATATGTACTGTAAATCAAGAATGGAAAAATGAAATAAAAGTATAATTATAAAAAGTGGGAAAGAGAAAAAGAGCGACTAAGCAATTACATCGTCGTCATTGTTAGAAAGATCGGTGTGATTTTCCAGTTTGCCTTTTATTTTTTTGAGCATAATTTGATTGATACAAATGAACGTTGAATTCTTTTATCATCGAATTCAAAAAAATGCAAAGAGATCAAGGAATTTCAATTCAATTACAAGCAATTATTATACTTTTTTTTTGACGTTGAAATGAATTCAGTCATAAAGTCTGTGATGCGTGTGCAAAAGAAATGTTTGTGTGTTCTTTTCCATAACTTATGTTTCGCAACGTTGATTTCTTGAAGCACAAAATTTTGTGAGGAATTTTATTTCGTTTGGAAACAGTTGCGCATAAACCGTTAAAATTAAAAAAATGTTCCTCATAAAAACAGTTAAGCTATAGCTCAATAAAAGACTTTCCACTTGCCGCTTTTTATATAACAACGGAAATCAAATTTCTAATTCCATGTGCTCTTTTTGAGCACCTTATTTCAAACAAACAATTTTCACATAATATATCGTTGACATGCGATCAATAAGCTATATTCAATTGCATGTATTTCTACATTTCACGGTGGTGACGGTATTTTCTCTTTCTCGCCAATTATAGACTGTGTGTGTGTGTATGTTTGATCATGTGCAACGGCCAATAGTATGACTGAAATTGAACACACCGGCACCGGCACTACCGCATCATAACTTTTTTTTATTCGACTGATCCATATGGCTACATCAATTTTTTCATCGTTGCATGTTTGCGGTTCACTTTACTCGTTTATATCCACCATTTATTTTTTCATTCGTGTGTTAAACAATGGTGTTCACGCGAAATTACTGCGATGAGTACAACATTATTCGCACATTCAACAAGTTACTGTTGAGCTGTTCAGACTTGTTTATAAATCTTTTAAAACTTGAAGTGACTGAATTTTGTCTGAATTATTTCGAAGCAATTATTAAGCAGTTTTTTTTCTGAAGTAGTAATAAAGAAGAGAAATTGTAACGATGAGTTTGAAACTTGCTTGTTGTGAAGATCAATACAAAAAATTTCCACAGCTGGACCGCGATGAAGTGTTGAAATTGCAAGATTGGCACGAAAAGCAGCCACATCTTCCAAATATTACAGGTATTGTACATATATATTTACCTGTACAGGTGACAAAACTTCAAGAACAATTAACGTGAAATTTACGTATTGCTTTATTAAAGCCAAAAAATTAGTAGTAGAATATTTTTTGCATTTAAGTTCATCAGCCCACATTTTTGTATTTATTCTCTAACCTGAATCTGAACTCCAATATTCCACACATAAGAAGTGCTAAACCTGTTACATAAAACGATTCAGAAGCTCATCTGCTCTTTAAACTTTCATCTTTCGAAAGAAGATGAAACAAGAAATAAGAAACAAAAACAGCGTTTAATTTATGCAAGATGTGAATAAATATAGTCGACTGTTCAATGTCATAAGTCTATCGTTTCATTTTAAAGCATGACCAAAAAGCATTCAACTTATTTATACAAATATACAAATATTTTAGTGTGAATTCTTTTGACAAATAGTTCTTTCAAAAAGAAGAAAAATCAATATTGTAAATGAGAAAAAAGCTATTGTGTTTGATTACAGTGATCGAATCGGCGAGATTCGTTATTTAATTAATAAATTATTTTAATTCGATTGCGTCAATTATAATATCGCCTCTCGACACGTTTATTTAAGTTTGTTCAATGAATTAACCGTGAAGTAGCATCATATATTCCATATGGAATAGTATAACAATTTAATTGCACACTCGCTAGATACAAAGTTGATAGAGGGGATCATTTGAAATTTGATTCTTAATCAAAATAACAAATATCTGTGGGATATAAATTATTTTCATTGAAGATTAAAATGTAAAAAAAGATTTTTATTGTTTATTCACAGAATTGGACGCTATAATTTTTCTACATGCATGCAATTATAGTGTTGAAAAGGCAAAGATATGTATGGATACTTACTACACTATTCGAACCCATTGTCCTGAGTTCTTCGGTCAACGTGATGTTAATGGTCACGATATTACGGCTCAAATGAATATTTTGTAAAATATTTGATTCTTGTTTTTACTAACACATTAATTAAATTTATTTTCACACTTTTTCTTCGTATTTTAGAGCAGTAGCACCACTTGAGGGCCTCACGCATGAAGGCTATCGCGCCATTTTATGTAAATTAACGGATTTCGATGCATCTAAATATAATTATGTTGATTCAGCCAAATTGTGAGTTTGGTCTTGAAAGTTCTTTCTTTTGAAAACGGAATACTTTAGTTTTTTATTTTGTGAAGATTTTCAATGGTAGCCGATTTACTGTTGGCCCAAGATGGAATTGCTGAAGGGCATGCGATTATCATCGATATGGAAGGATCTACCCTATCTCATTTAGCTAAAGTGAACATTTTGGCCATGAAAAAGTTCATGTTTTACATTCAGGTATATAAATCAAAATTTTCATTATTTTAATTTATTTTTTCTTGTAATTTCGTTTTTTCTCTTTATTATTGGTTTGGTTTTCGAAACATCAATTATGCCTCGGAACAGGAAGCATTGCCGGTTTGTATTGATTTGAGTATACAATTTATAAGGTTTTTTAAAGTAGAAATTATACCAATGCACAACGCTTAGAGATGTCTGGTTTCGATTTTGCTTATTTTTTCTTTCATTACAGGTTCGTTTGAGAGCATTTCATTTTATAAACACAGTCCCATTCATGGATAAAGTATTGGCTCTAATGAAACCCTTTATGAAGAAGGAACTTTTAGATGCGATGCATTTGCATTCATCATTGGATACATTTGTAGATAAGCATGTAAGTTTGATAATATATGAAAATAGGCTTCTTTACGTGAACAATTTGGAAAATTTTGTATTTACTTAGGTACCTAAGATGATATTGCCTAGTGAATATGGTGGTTCTGCTGGAACACTCAAAGAATTTACGGAAAAAACATACAAAGAATTACGAGCCAATCCCGAATTTTTTGTAAATGAGGAAAAAAATAGAGTCGACGAAAAGTTGCGTCCAGGAAAACCAAAAACTGAAAGTGACCTATTCGGAACCGATGGCAATTTCAAGCAATTGCAATTCGATTAAAGTGTGAAATTTACATACATTCTCATATTTGAAGCAATTGTAATATTGTTCTACCAAAACTTCTATTCACCGTCACCATATGATATTTAAAACACGAATATTTTGCACCATTTTTTTTGTTTGTTTTTGGCGGTTAAAAAGTATTTAATGGAATTAAATTCCTTCTAAGGGTTAATTTAAAGTTCAATAAAAAATATTTTAATTAAGAAAGCAGACAAACACAATTCGAAAAGAATTTCTTTCTTTTTTAATTTCATACATAATGCAATAAAATGATTTAAAAAATGCGATAAATAATATGATTGAAAAGTCATGCATTGCGACTGTCTTCATTATTATGGTTCCGGAAAATGCTCTGATTCGCATGACTTCCATTGCATGCATACAAATATAGTAGTACTAAACTTTTATTTTTATTACTTGGTACCATAAATCAGCAGAAGGTAATTGTAGTGATTTTCGGTTGTGGGAAAAACCATTCGAAATCATTATATATAGATTTTTGTTTTGTTTTGTTTAATTTTTTAGTATTGGGGAAAGTTGTGTTTCAAAGGAAATGACTTCAATTGTTTCAAACAAGAGATATGACCTTTGAAAATATTTATTTACCTATTTTCGTGAACTCAATTTTGCCTCTTTATCAAATTTTTTTATTATGGACCATTTTTTATGTTACAAACCATTTTCAAATTTTCGTTAAAATTTTACACTTTATTTTTAAATCTTGATAAATATAATAATATAGATTTATACGTCATGATTATTACGAAAATTATAAATAGTTTTTGAATGGAAAGTTTAATAAAGTAATTTTGGAACAGCTCATGAGCCAAATTTACTCATCTCCATTGAAATATAGCAATAATGGAGACGCCCTATTATTTTCAAATAAAAAGAGCAAACTTTGCCGCAAAGTATATTGAATTCATGTATTTTTGTAGACATTGTAAAAAGAAATTTAATTTCTTTACTTTCAGTTTTTAATTTTTAATAATTTGGGAATTACCCCTTTACAAATTGAGAGAAATATTCTTTCCTTGAATTAATTATTATTGTGAAGACCTTTTTTTAGCTCTTCACTTTCTGAAATGGGAGAAAATATTAAATTTTGCTAGGGTTTTTGTTGGCGAAAAGAAGAATCTTTCAATTCGCTAGGGTTTTTGAGCCAAATGCTCTGAGACACCCCCCTAGGAAGGAAGAAATCAAATAATGCATTTTTGAATTTGTGAAAGACCAAATAGAAAAAGTAAAAAGTTACCCCTTTAGAGAAAATACTGGGGGACCCAGTACGGGGAAATATAGCTATCTTCACAGATAGTTTGGGAGCCATAACTGATCTTAAGAATATTAAGATGCAAAATGGCTTGGCTATGAACTGTTACGAGGCACTCCAGCGCATTTCTGAAACGAACAACCTTAGGGTGGTTTGGATCAAATCTCATACTGGTATTCGGGGGCATGACCTGGCAGACGGGGCGGCAAAATTGGCTGCACACGATGCAATAGAGGGTCCAGAACCATACATACCAATTGAATATTCACGAGTCAAGAACCGATTAGCTACTTGGCTCAGCAACAGATCCCGCCTAAATTGGCAGGGTACGTTCTCATGTGAGCAAACGAAACACTTCGTTCAATTCACATGCTCAAAACTCACGGTGGAATTAGCCAAATTGCCCAAGGAAGACCTCCGGATGGTAATTGGTTTACTTACCGGGCACGCCAGGGTCAATTCTCATATGAGAAATCTAAATCTCAGAGACGACCCGGACTGTAGACTGTGTGGTGGAGAAGGGGAAACCACTGCCCACCTCATAGATAGATGTCCAATGTTGGATACCATACGGGCTGACTTCACGGGCTGGAGATCCTACCCTTTGATTCATGCACCGAGTGTATTCAAATTGGTAACGTTTTTCAAACGGGCATGCGATGACAATCCATGCCTTAGAAACATTTTTGGATAAAAGACTATTCTCGTGTATTCAATACACACACGGGCGTCTTGCAATAAGTTATGAAACTTGAGCAACGAGTAACTATATTAAAATTTTACTGTTTAAATAGGACACTCCCCGTTTTAATCCAATAATCCAATAATCCAATACCCCTTTAGATTTTGATAAATTTTTGAAATTAGTCTGAAAATTGGTTGAATAACCGTGTTGAATCATGGCAGACCATGATGGCCAATATCAAAGATACCATCCCCCTCATTTTGGGTCGAACAAATTTTGATATTCCCCATACAAACTTTTCAAAAATAACATTTTTATGCACTATAAGACCATGATAGAGTGGACCAAATTTGGTCCAAAATCTAATGGTATCTATTCCTCAATATTCCAAACCATCCTGCTGTTTAACGCATCTCTTCGCTCGGACGCTGCATATACTCGACATAACAATGGTGTCATTGTTATGAAATGATTTAAAACGGTAAAAATTTCAAACAATGAGACCATTGTTATGTCCAGCATTCACACCGTCCGAGCAAAGAGATGCGTTAAATAGCAGCTATTTATATATACCTATAGCAATAGCGGATACAAATAGCTAGCTAGCAACATTGTATGGAACAGACCCACAACAACCTGGTCTCAAATCGATAAATTTTTTATCCTCAACCCAGAAAAGGTAATTTAGAGAATTTTTATTTTTAGGCTCCATTACAAGACATTTCCCTTCACACTACGTGTGGGCGGAAAAGTAAAAAACATTAGACGACTCATAAAAACGCATAACAATGCCTCAAAAGTTGTCATACTGAAATGAGAGTATTGCACAAAAAACCATATAAAATAAAGGATCCGCTATCATAGGATAGACGCAAATAAATGAAATGCCGAAATCGAAAAAAAGTGTTTATCTTTAAAGTTAGAACGCATGAGTGTTACATCGTAATCAAGCGTGTTATTTCAACCTAAAAATTCCGCCAAATACATGACACCATCAATATAACGCTTATATCACCATCGGTCTATTGTTTTCTTGCATTGAGCACTCCATTTTTTGTTATTTTGATAGCAATTCAGAGCTTTGTTTATCGTTTGACATGTGTTGGATTTAGTGGTCTCGTACATTGGCTGTCTCTATCCGTTGCAATGTTTTTCTCGCATATATTTGAAATGCTGGTAAATGAACCATACATTTTTTCTTACACGTATGTACATGAGATTTTTTTCCTATCAGTATTGTCATATTTATAATGTTTGGCGCCATTTTTTTTATTGCTTCGTCGATTATATTTTTACCAGCCGAGAGCTAGAACAATCATTTGCACAATGCCATTTAAATATATAAATGGAACAATTCAAACGATTATTTTAGTTAAAAAAAATTTAATCGTGTTGTCTTTTTTGCAATATCAAATGAATACCATAGAGCGCATTTTTTCCATTCAAAACAATATGAAAAAGCCTCTACAGGAGTACAAGAACAAAGTCAACTACCACTTCGTTTAATTGAAAACTGAATTTCTCTTATAAAAAATATTTATTATTTAGGACATTTTCTGTTATTTTTTGTACGTTATTTAACTGGGTTTTGTGACACATTATCGCGATGCGAAAAAATCTCAAATGTGAAACAACAATAAATAAAATAAAAAGAAATTTAGGGTAGGAAAATGCCAGAAATAAATTCATATGAACATTAAACTAATGCCGATAACGACAAAAACTACATATATGATTGTTTAAAACACATACGAATGTTTACGACACGTATCATGAAAATCATTGGAAGAATGCAGTTGAATTCTCATATTTTTTTTAGTTCTGGCTGTGTAATCGATGCGACAAAAATAGCCAGAACAGAAAACGTCAGAATATATACGAAAGTACGTAGTTTCGCCGAACAGTTGGCCTCCTATATATATTCATACATACGCATGCACAATACTTTTCCATGAGATGCGTTGTTTAATGATCAGATACAATCGAGATAAAAGCTTTCTGAAATATATAATAATCGATATTGGTTTTTGGTTGTTTGTTTAGCATTTATTGTTATGTAATGCAAGACTTTCTTGTTTGTATGTTTTTTTTGTCTTAAGTGTATTTGATTGAAGCGTAATATGAGTTTATAACGATTATACTATAAAATAGTCTTTTAATGTTTTTTCTGACCATGGTGTGCATATTGCACAATGAAATTCCATTAAAGCATATGGCGCGTATGAAACGCATTTGAACCTAGATTGGCAAAGACGCGAAACAGTCCATAAGAGTCATCGAAAGATTGATTTGATGTGAATGACATTCACTGAATGTAATATCGACCCAATAAGTTTACTTAATCTGTTGCCAAAACGTTAACCATAAAGTTAAGGACACAACATGAGCAGCCAACCGACAAGCGCAATATTGTCGACCGTCAGCAATACGATGATTCACGACATAAGCATGTGATTCAGATAAAACCCTTCTGTTTTTTACCGATTAAATTTATCAAGCCGCATTAAAAGTCTAGCGCAATTTGTTTACAATGTAACATGGAATTACTGACTAAATTAGCCGGGATTAACGACCAAAAAGCTTACAGACCAAATTTTCGATGTCTACATTGCAAAATTACCGATTGGCTATACATTTTTTATATAATTAGGCTAGTAAAAAAGTCCAAGCATACAAAATAAAATGATGAAAAAAATCTTGAAAAATTCTCTAATAATTCATACACATTCTATATAAAACACGACTCATAATTTTCCAATGCTGTTAATTCACTTAAACAACGGCATTCCAACAGTTTTTTTCCTCTATTCTGGTTTTATTCCCTTGAACTAGACCGCAAAATATTTGCCATTTTAATGAAATGAGCTCTCATTAACTCTGCGCTTTGTCTTGTTGCACAACAGGCAAATTGTGAGAGAAGAAAAAAAAAGAAAAGTGGGAGAAACATACAAGATAGACACACAAAACAATCATAAATCTCATTAAATCTTTTTGCATGGAAAATTGTCCAGTAGATAAATTGTTGAAATCGTTTTTCATCTGTAAGTTGAAATAAGAGTTTACTCTCTATGGTTCAAGGGACAAATCACAGAATAAATGTTAAATCCAAGCGCTTTTAACATTCTTTTCTTTCATTGTTGTTTTTTTATGACAATTTGCTCTATTTCCAAATCTATCCGACTGTACAAATTTTCCAGATCGTGTCATTTTACACAATTATTCAACGTTAACATACAGTATGTTTCATTATAGAGGGAGGTTGATTT